GTTGGATTAAAGCCCATCCTAATCTAGTATGATTTCATCTTAACTTGATTACATCTGCAAAGAGCCTGTTTCCAAACAAGGTCATATTCACAGGTACTGGGAATTAGGAATTGAGGGACATGATTCAACCCACAACACGTGGTTATATATATTTTATTTTTACATTTTTTTATTTAAATTCAGTTAGCCAACATATAGTACATCATTAGTTTCAGATAAGTTATATATATATATATATGTGTGTGTGTGTGTGTGTGTGTGTGTATATATATATAAAAGAATTCTGTTTTCTGTACTTAACTCCTTTGAACTGTTGCTTGTCACCTTTCAGGTAAGTAATTTAGACTTTGGTCACTTTCTTGCTGCTCTTGAGTAGTTCCAGAAATAAGGTCTGGTTTCAGTTCCTGGCAGATTTTAGCATCATAGAATCTTAAAACTGAAGAGGGTCCATCTAAGTCCTTTTGTTTAAATTTTACAGTAAGAAAAGGTAGATAAACCATTTATTTTCTTATGCCTGCAGTCAGACATCTGTGGCCATAGATAGACAAATCATACCAGGGACCAGTGTTCTGTCCTTGCTTTCAACCAAAGCAAAGAAATGAAGTAGTTCTGATTAGAATAAACATCTTTCAAATAGATATCTTAAGGCAAGAGCCCAAGGCTTATTTTTTCATACCTCTTTGAGTTATGTAGAGTTGCCCTCAGTAAAACACCAGGAACCATGGTTGGTGCTCACAGAAGCCCCACAATAACTTTTGGTTGAACATTGAAGGGAATGCGGATACGCAGAAGATACATGTGGCATGTGATGATGACTAACTGAAGCCTTGTATTATGGAGGATGGTAGGGGAAAGAGCTGACAGTGTGCTGGGGGATTTCCCTAGATTATCTCCTTTAATCTTCACACCAGGCCCCACTGGTGCTGCTTGGGGGAATTTGCCCAAGGCAGTCCCACCAGTGGGAGGCAGAGCTGAGACTTGATCCCAGGCCTGTCTTACTCTGAAGCACTCAGTTAATCTCCTTTGTCCTGCCTGTATTTTCTTTGTCAAATTACTCAGCTGTAATTTCCTCTACTAATACTAGTAATGACAGCTGACAAGATTTTAATTAGGTATTAAATAAGACAATATTCATATGGAAGAAGGAGAGTGGAGTTTGCCATATATTTTATAAAACATACCTTTTTAAGGTATTTGGGTCAAAAAATTAGACAGTTTAACATACGCAATTTCCCTTTCCATATCTTTTATTTCCATTCTTTTAAAATTGGAAAAATAGCATGACACATTTAATAAGGTGGTATGATCATTGAAATCTCGGCTCTTCTAGTCATGCTGTCCTCAGTTTGAGGTTGGAGTTGTGGTTACCCCTCAAAAGGATTGAACAACTTGCTTCATAAATTAGAAAGCTATTTTGGCAAAGTGTAATTGTTGGGGCAAAATAAGTCGAACAAGAAAAAAGGACAAACCCTCTTTGCTTTCTTGCTTTCAACAACTTCAGCCTGTGTACTATGTTTTGGCTATTTTTTTTGAAGGTTTTTTTTAAGTAATCTCTATATCCGGTGTAGGGCTCGAACTTTGTGTAATTTTAAAATGTAGTGGTTTGGGGACAGTCATCAGGACTTTTTGGGTTGTAAGTGACAGAAAACTAACTCCAGGAATAGTGCTCTCTCGGAAGCAGCCAGCTTCGATTGCCCACAAGAATCTATCTCACTCCGTTGCTCACCTCTGCTTTCCTCCACATTGACTTCATTTTCAGAGATAGGCTCTCACATCATAATGGCAAAAAATAGGGTTATCATTTGCCAGCCGAGCAACTGAGTTTGGGGACTGGCTTTCACAGCCTAGCTGGGGGTCTGATTGGCCAGGACTGGATCACGGACGACCTGTGGACCAAGAGAGAAGAAAATGATTTCCAAAATAAACTTGCCATGTTGTTATCAAAATCAGGAGGAAGGGATGCTGGACGTGGTAGTTTAGAACATAGGTTGTTATAAGAAGGTACGAACAGAACTTTCTATTTTGGGGGGCTGGGATTTAAGAAAACTGATCTGCTAACTTGAAAAAATATGTTCAGTATTAACTACCACTGCCTGAAAAAGGAAAGAGCCAATAACGCACAACTTGTGGTTGGGTACCAGACACTGTAGCAGGTTTTTTTTTTTTTTTTTGATTGTACCATTAACAATTCTCTTAAGTAATTAGTAACATTTTGGAGCCCTTACCACATGTCAGCCTCTATGTGAAACACTTTACATATTTAATTCCCACTGCAGCTTTGTGAGGTTGGCGTTAATATTCTCATTGTGCTGATGAAAAAATGGAATCCAGATGTATCTGACTTCCCTGTAGTTGATGATCTTAATATTTCAGTTTGCTTTTGTTAGTCTGCCTCGCTAACTTTCTACCATCCATATCTGGGGAGCCCCTCCTCCTTCCACAGCTTTCTCCAGGTGGGTAGCACTCCCTTTGCCCCCATCACCCTTGCTTCCCACCGCTAAGCCTTAGCGGTTCTGCCCCCTGCCGAACCCTCCTCCAGGATCTGTTTGCTTTCCTCTACGTCAGTGGCTGTCCCTCTCACCTTCCTGACTGAAGACCTGAACTCTGGTAAGAAATTCTGTCTAGCCTTCTTGCTTCTAGTCTTGATCTCTCCCCCACCCCTGTTTTCCTTAGAGGAGCCAGGTTGGATTTTTAAAAAAAGTATAGACCTGAGTTTATCAGTCTTTGTTCATCTTGACTTCCTGTTGCACTTAGGGTACGATCTTGGCTCCTGCCTGTCTTCCCAGCCTACCTCTTGAGCTCTTCTTCTCTGGCCTTTTTTTTTTTCCTTTCTCTTCTACATCTTACCATGTACTTCCCTCTTCCTATCCTGTTCTTCATTCTTACCCTTTCTTTCTTTTTTTTTTAAAGATTTTTTTTTTATTTATTAGAGAGAGCATGGCAGGGGGGAGGGGCAGCAGGAGAAGCAGGCTCCCCACTGTTCAGGGAGCCCGGTCTGGGGCTGGATCCCAGGAGCCTGGGATCATGATCTGAGCCAAAGGCAGACGCTTAATGACTGAGCCACCCAGGCGCCCCTCACGTTTTCTTTCTTTAACTCTTACTTCTTTAAGCCTGTTTAAATGTTACCTCCTTAAATCCTCTGTTTTTTGTTTTTTGTTTGTTTGTTTGTTTTTTGCTTTCTTATTAAGCTCTATACCCAGCATGCGGCTTGAACTCAAGACCCCAAGATCAAGAGTCACATGTTCTACCAGCTGAGTCAACCAGATGCCTGCTTCACTTCCTTAAATCCTTAGGGACTTCCCTGCTCCTCAGATCTGAAAATATGAGACTCCTTTACTTTTCCTTTCTGCACTTAGGACAATCTGTAGTTACGTATTCATATCATTATTAGCCCAGTATTCCCCACTAAACCGCGTTCTCTGTGAGGACAGGGACAGGTCTGTTTAGTTAACTGCTGAATATCTAGCATCAGGACCGCAGTGCCTGAATCATAGTAGGCATGCAAATATGTGTTGAATGGATCAGCAGACTAATAACTGAAAATATCCAAAGCAGTGCGTTTTATATTTATTCATTTTTTAAATTTTTTAAAAGTAAGCTCTGTGCCCATCATGGGGCCTGAACTCACGACCTGGAGATCAAGAGTCACAGGCTCTACCACCTGAGCCAGCCGGGTGCCCCAAAGCAGTGTATTTTAAATGATTACCCTTTTTATAGTTCTCCATTCTCACTTCATTCATTACTCAAGAACAAACTTAGGTTTAGAGCAGTTTTATCCCAGCAACTTTTGGTTTTACTTAGGAATGTTAAAGGACAAAAATTTAACCAAGTACATTTGAAGTTCTAATTGGCTCTCTTACTCAATTCATGAATGGGGCGGCATCCCATCCAGCAAGTAGAGGGGTTCTCTGAGGAGTTGTACAGAATGGACGGTTTTTACGGGAAGGAGGATGGAGCAAGGAGTTAATAGCAAAAGAAAAGAAAGGATTGTTTCAGGCTAGGTCATTTTCCCTCAGGGGCAAGGACAAGGGTCTTAGGCACATTACCTCATCTTCTTTAGGCCTGGAGAAGGCCCAAGTGACAGATTACCTCACGTTGGTCAGCAAATTCCTGACTGGTTAATACTATATTTCTAGGGGAGGTTGAAACTGTGGTTAAGTTAGGTGTTAAGTCCTGATTTGGTGACTTGGCTTCAGTGACACCATTTTGGGCCTGTGGTTTTCTTTTTAACAGGAATAAGCCATGCTTCCTTTATTGCTGGTTGTTATTGTTAGCAATTCAGATTCTCTACAGTGATGCACTTGATTTTTTTTTTTTTAGATTTTATTTATTTATTTGAGAGAGAGCATGAGCAGCGGGGAGGGGTAGAGGGAGAAGCAGACTCCCCACTGAGCAGGGAGCCCGATGCGGGACTCGATCCCAGGGCCTGGGGTCATGACCTGAGCCGAAGGCAGATGCTTAACCAACTGAGCCACCCAGGCGCCCCTGCACTGGGTTTTCAAAACTTCTTTATCAGAGCCAGCTATAATAGAGGAAAATTCTAAATTTTAGGATATATCATTCCACTCCATTTAACCTGAGCCTGGGTGGGTGGGAGAGGAAGAGAGAAGGCCTTGCTCACTTGCTCCAAATGGTTCCCTGGCCAGTAACACAGAAGCTTGAACAGTCCTGTACATGAGGTGTGCCATCCCAGAATGCAGGCATCCAAGTTTAGCTTTCTCTACACATCCTTGTGATTTCTGGTGGCTGTCTTTGCCCAGAGTGGCTTTGGAAGGAGATCTTCCCAACCTTTGTCGTGGACATTTGGTGATACTTATATGGCCCGTCTGAGCCCACAGACGAGGCTGTCTGCCCCTGGGTATGAGGGTGTGACAGGGTCATCATCTCTGCACCCTATGGCCTTCTGCTGCACATAGGTGCACTGGCTAGGAAACCTAGCTCTCCACGATCATTCCAAGTGTTGTGGATAATGTAAATTTTTCTCCCTGTTTAATCCACAGTTGGTCATGTTCGGAGTTGGACTTGAACGAGATCCGCCTGATAGTTTACCAGGACTGCGAAAGGAGAGGCAGACAAGTCTTGTTTGATTCTAAAGCGGTTCACAAGACTGAGGAGGTGGCAACCCAGGTACGAAATGCAGGTTTGCTTTCATCTTTTTTTATTTGTGCTGTTAACCACCCCTCTGAGCAATCATTTATTAATTCATAATCTTCTCTTAGGGCTGTATTGTACAGTATCATTAATGGTTCAGAAGAAACAGAAAGGCTCTCCGCCACCCCACCCTGCTGCATTTGTACTCTTATTAATATACACAGGTGAAACTGTTATCAAGGAATCATGACAGATGCTCAGTAGTGTACTATAAATATTACTAGAGGTAAATTTGCTGGTGAGTTGCAATTCAGTAGTATTTGGATGCCAAACATGTGCTGTGCAATAGGGAAACTGAGAACTCTAAAATTCATAAAGTGTTAGCCTGAAGGGAAGTTAATAGATCATTCTGTCTAGTATTTCACATAGATAATAAGAGGTATTACGTTGCACTAGGTTAAACAAAATTAAATAGCTTTCCTTACCATAGGACTTCAGTATGCTAACACACTTTCATCTTCAAAAGGGAGTGCTTCTCAAATCCATCTGACCAAGGCAGCTTTATTTATTTCCTACTTTTAGTGGAGAGCAGGGTGGTGGTGATGGTGTTCTGGGGTGGGGCGTGGGGGATCTGGGATGGGTAAAGTGAGGACATAACAGCCCTTGATCCCTTAGAGCCAGAACAGGAACGGTATCAGGTCCCGTGTCCGGGTCCAGTCCTCCCTCAGTCTTCTGGACATCAACCCAGGGTACTTCTAAGTTGTCACCTTTAGACTTTTTATTCTTTTCATGTTCAATACCTTGCTATCTATACTGACCAAATTCTGGCAGTTCATAGAATGTGTAGCTAAGTAAATGAATAGTTTATTTCACGGCCTTTGTTTCATCAGGGCCAAGGGGCTCTTTTCCTGCTTTTGATAAAGATCATTTCTGCAGGAAGGAAGTATTTGGTTAAAGGCAGTTTGGCTGAGTAGATTCCATAGTGCTTTAAAGTGGAAGTCTGCCAGGTAGCTAATCATTACAGTAGTTGTTGGGCTTGTTAGGTTGGGGGTGGGGGAGGGATCTCTCAAGTGATTCACCTGTAGGCTTTAATGGTAGATTTGTATCAAAGTTGAGGTGAGCCGGCACTTCACCCTTTGGTGGACAGGACATGGTCCCCTTGATTTCCCACATCGTTTCCTGTTTCCCTGAAGGCCTTTCACAGGTAGTTTAGTGGGACACCCGCACGCCATCACTAGGACTCCTCTTGGTAACAGGTGGAGAAAAATTCTCACTGGTTTTCAAAAGGAACTGGAATTTTGGCATATCAATATGAGAGCAGTGATAACACTGGAGTCTGGAAGTACTCATTTAATCGAGAAGGCAGCTAGGTCCAGAGGGATTCATAACTTGCCCAAGGCTACAAAAAGAGTCCAAAAAAAAAAAAAAAGAGTGCTCTATTCACGTACCAGGTATTAGCTCCAATTATAGACTGCTCAGTATGTTGTACCCCAGCCAGAGGGTCGAGCAGTCCGTGAGGCAGGTGTGGACTTAGTGTTACTTTAGGCTCTCTGAGGGGCTGTGTTTCTGGTGTAAGTGGTACTAAGTAACAGCTAGAGCTGAAGAGGGTGTTGAAGGAGTGCCCAATACCCGGGAATGACCAAGGATGACTTTGCCATTGCTGCAGGAGTGGCTACTATGGACCAGCACAGTGTGTGTTTTCCTTATATTCTTTTCCCATTTTCAGCCCCCCACTCCCTTGGCAAGCACAAGACCTCATGAGTTTGTAACAAGCACATGACTGCTGGCATTTGCATTAGACCACCAATGTGACTGTCACATTGGAGATTAGATAAGCTGCAGTTGCATTCATGTTTTTCCAAGCAAAAGCTGCCCACAGAAAAGCAAGTAGGACCCCGACAGAATAGAAACAACCTGTCATAGGTGGCACAGGATGCTTCTGTAGGGAGTAATACATTTCGTTGTAGGAGGAAGGGCAAAATTAGTAAAGGGGTACTGTCTTTATACCTTTATGTCACTGTCATAACTCTATTTAGGGAATATATAGTAGATAATCTTCTATTACCCCTAACCTTTAGAGGTCACTTTTCCATCACATGATATATAATTCACAGGAGCTCCTTTTTCAGGGTTTTGGTTCATCTTTCACAAATTCGACCTCATGATTTTCTCTCCTGTTACCTTTAGAGGAGTGCTAGAGAAGGTGTGCCATTAAAAATACAGACTCAGACTTTCCAAATTAGTAATTTTGCTTTCTAACTTAGTTCCATTTGCCTGGTAAAATTTTGAATTTGAAGCAATTTCTTTCTCCACGTCAATATTTATAGATTATGACTCTCCACAGTACTAACAGATTCATTAATAACCCAGAGATCAGATCTCACTGACGATTTCAAGACAGCAATTGAAACATAAAGAGCAGTTGAATTACTTGAGAATATTCACACTACATAACTCCCGTCTTCTGTCCAGTTACCTTTCTTCCGCGTACCTCCTTCCCAGATACTATAGACTCCCGGGAAGCACATTTTTTGTCCTCAGCAAGAAGGGGAAGAAAGCTTCTGGTTTTCTGTGCAAACTGAGGCACAACATAACAGAGTGATTTAACAAAGAAATGCCCAGTGAAGAGCGTGTTGCGGGAGCCCGACACACTTAGCAGTGCTTACCTTGCCTGTCTGTCTCCTCAGAAATCAGAGGATGCCCCTATTAAACTGGCAGCCAAGTGTTGTCAGGGCAGTGGCGGCAGCGGCAGCCTCTCATCCCAGAGCTCTTCCGGGGGATCTCTACAGCACGCCAAGGAGCAGCTCCCAAAGTACCAGGTAAAACCGTCCCTGCCATGTCCCACAGCCCCTGGGACTGAAGCCATTTACTGTAATTTCTCCACAAGGAAGAATACTTGCTTGAGGCTCCTACTCCAGGAACATGAGCATATGTATTCGAAGATGTGCTCTTAGATGTTTCATGTCAGTGCTGTTTTCACACTTTGGCTTTTGTCTCTTGATAAAAACTATAATGAAGGCGAGGTGACCCAGTATAATACATACTGAGTGAGGAAGAAATATTGCAAACGAGGTAAACCCTTCTGTTTTGCTTCCTTTCTTGCCCGAACCTGATGAAAAAGCACGGATTTTCCAGTTTTGTTTTAAGAATTTCAAGGATTCTGAGAATGTATATGGGCATCCTAAGAAAATAGCACTTGCCAGTCGGGAGGAAGAGAACCGTGTTTAGGAGGAGAAAGAAAGGGCAAGATGTAACTTGAGTGTGAGGGATACAGGGCTGGTAGCAGGTGTGTGTGTGTGTGTGTCTGTGTGTGTGTGTGTGTGTGTAAGGCAGTAGAGGATAGGGATTAGGGTTATTGAAAAATATTGGCGTACTAGACATAAGGGAAGAAATGTTTCATAAATACTGAAGAGCAGGAGGGTGTAAACTAATGGAGGATGTATCATTTTTTTTTTTTTTTTGACTCTTGGAATTTTCCATGTTGCTGGAAAAGCAAAGCCAGGTAAATTACCAGCAGCCATTGGTCTATGGAACTTTGTTAATTTCATGTTCAGGATTGGGCCCTGCGTTTGCGCTTATTTCACAGTGCTCCTGGGTCTCAAGGCAGTTGGTGATTAAAAAAATATACAGTGAGATTTCCAGCTAGTGGAGAATTACCGTTGGCATGTAGACCTTGTACCCCAAGAAAAAGCAGATTACAAAATGCAGGTGGTGGGTGGAAGTTATTAATAAAAAATGTGAAAGACAGTTGGTTTCTGTCTGCATGTAGTGAGAAGAGGTTGGCGTGAGCTATAACCAAACAGAGGGGAGCCTAGTTAAACAAGGCTGATAGATTTATGTTTCTCTTTCCTTCTCTGTAAACATGTCTAAGTAGGAGTGTATATGTACATTTGTGTGTGCATGTACTTATGTGTGTGTGTGTGTGTGTGTGTGTGTGGATTTGGAGTTTAGAAAAAAGATTGAGAAGAGAAAGTTAAGAACAATTCCCATGTTTTTGCTTGGGTGGAAAGCATACTAGCAGAGAATCTGGCACTGGATGAGCTGGGTCAGAGAGAGACGGTTGTCTTGGTCAGGCTGTGCTGGGGTGCCTGCAGCATATCCTAATAATACATTACCATTACACATATGTGATAGTATACATATTACATATAACATATATGATATGTAATAATATATTGTTATGATATGTGAATGAATGCATTTGGATATAGGATTCTAGAGTTCAGGGAGAGGTCTAGGCCTAGAGTTTAAGGTGTGGGAGGTATGCCTACATAAAGAATAACCAGAATCCCAAGAGTGGTTGAGAGTGTGGACGGTGACTAGGAGTGCCCTCTGAGGAACATCCCTGTTCAAGGGATGATCTAAGAAAGCAGAGATTCAAAAAGGAAAGTAGATAACAGCAGCAGCTATTGGCAGAGATGTTTAAGAAAGCAAACTGGAAAGTGTACTGGATTTGACTGGAAGGCAGAGGCTATATCACTAGGGCAGTTTGAATAGATGCGGCTGCAGTAGGTTAAGCAAATGAGACTTGGGAAAGTTGGAGGTAGCTCGGGCCTACCCTTGTGGATGACCGAAGGGACAAGAAAGACCGGCCAGAAGCTAGAGGGGTCAAATATTTTTGAAATATTTTTTGGTAAAACTTTCAAGGTATCAGACCATCTGTTACCTTTTGGACCCTCACAAAAACTCTCCCTGAGCCAATTGGCATTTTCATTCAACACTGTTAATTATTTAGGTGAATAGTATTGAACTGTTTTTCTTTTCAGGATGTATTTTTGGTACCAAGAGAAGAGTTACCCTGTTTTTTTTTTTTTTCCAGAACTTAATCTTTCTCTGTAGAGTTTATAAATGGAGATAATGAAAAATCTTTGTTTTTCATAACAAGATTAAGAATGATCCCTTCTGAGACACTGCGATCCTGTATGGAGATATTGTGCATAAAGATGAAATCATGAACACAAGTAATAATTTGGGGGAATAAATAGCCAATCACCATTATAGATTAAGATGATCAGTTTCTGCTTTGAATTTTAGTTACCTGCTACACTAAAGACGGACCCATAGATAAATAAGCGTTATTTTCTGTTGCATCACACATCACGTTGTGCCACATAGTAACTTTGGTTTTGGTCTCTTTCCTGTGTGGCAGTACACAAGACCAGCTTCTGATGTCAACATGCTAGGGGAAATGATGTTTGGCTCAGTCGCAATGAGTTATAAAGGCTCCACTTTAAAGATACACTATATCCGGTGAGTTTGAGCTTCTTTTTCTACTAGTTGGGAGAAATGGAATGGTGATACTGGCTTCTTAATTCAAAATGCATCTCTCCCCCCGCCCCGCCCTTTTTTTGTTTTCTTCCAGTTCTCCTCCACAACTGATGATGAGTAAGGTATTCTCTGCTAGAATGGGCAGCTTCTGTGGGAGTACGAATAAGTAAGTGTGGGATTTTGTACCTGTCTTTCCTCCTCTCCCCCATTTTTTTTAAGTGGCTCTTTCTGGCTAGAGTAGTTCTTCCAGGGCCATACCTTCTTTTGGAAATGAGAAGTGGGAAAAGTCCGCATTAACAAAGGGATTTTAAAAATGGCCATTTTCCTGTACATAATGAGTATGAAAAGGCCTTTGACTTTATCAGGTGGCCTTAAAGAGAAATGACTGTTTACTTTCCAACATTATTTTATCTTAAAAAAAGAAAAACAAAAAACCTGCTGGTTAGTTTGTTAATTTATTTCTAAAGGAATGAAGTACGTGCTGAGTTTTTCCAGGCTGCTAGGCATATGTATGGCAGGATGGGTCATATGTGCTCACCATCTCTTCAGCCATCAGTGTGGCCTCTATGATTGATAGATACTGGGGCTGTGCACTCTTCTGATCTTCGCTCCTCTTGAGTTTTTTTCCTCCTCTAATTTTACACTTCTGTGTAGACTGAGAATACTGATGTGTCTAACTTAACTTTTGTTCATGTATTTCGAACTTTTCAAGCAGAAATAGTTCATATGCTTCATTTTTGAATAAAGCAAAAACATTTGTTATACTTTGGTAAGTTTGAAAGAAGTTTGTTATAAATTAAAGGGGTATTCTTAGGGGTCAAATGAAGGCTGTTCTTTTTTATATTCCTGGGAAATTAAAAATATTTTCCTTTGTAGATTTCTGTACCACTGAGTAACTCTGCTTACTCTTCAACAAAATAATGAATTTAACTTTTCTTTTTTAATTGATTTCTTTTTTAAGCTTTTATGTATTCATTTGCCAGAGAGAGAGAGAGTGTTTACAAGCAGGGGGAGTGGCAGGCAGAGGGAGAAGCAGGCTCCCCACTGAGCAGGGAGCCTGATGTGGGACTCGATTCCAGGACCCTGGGATCATGACCTGAGCCGAAGGCAGATGCTTAACTGACTGAGCCACCGAGGCGCCCCTGAATTTAACTTGTTTAAGCATTTAACGTTGGACTGGCGTTATTTAAGCCATTATGGGAATGATTTTTTTTTCTCTTGTGAGAGATTCTTTTTCAGACCCTTTCAGTTATTACACTAATTCCCTATAATAGAATATTGAGCTCAGATTTAAGTAAAAATTATTTTAGCCTCATTATGCTATATTACCCTCAAAGTCTTTTTTTTTTTTATCATTTTATTTATTTGCGAGAGAGAGAATGAGAGACAGAGAGCATGAGAGGGAGGAGGGTCAGAGGGAGCCTGATGTGGGACTCGATCCCAGGACTCCAGGATCATGACCTGAGCCGAAGGCAGTTGCTTAACCAGCTGAGCCACCCAGGCGCCCTACCCTCAAAGTCTTGATATTTATTTTACTAGCTAATAAATCAAGTAAATTATTAAAATCTCTCTCACATTTGTGTTTATGAGTAACTCAACTTTTTAGATGTTGCAAAGTCAAACTCCTATAGGAATAATAATTTCTATTCTATCATCCTGCTGAAAAAAGTTGCCAAATTGCTTGTAGATGTTAACTAAGAATTCAGATGAATTTCATTTTGCAGGTTTATGTGAAATTACCCTTGAAATGAATGGCAACATCTTGGGTATCAGTTACTAAAGCACAATTTAAAAACAAATAGCAGTATCCTAGCTGTCTGTCACCAAATCAAAATTTGTTAGAGTTCAATGCCCCATTTTATAACGTGAAACTGTTAGGAAAGCATTGTTTAGTTTTATAGGTTGGACTGCCTCCAGAAAGCTTTTCTTGTCTTTTCCTCCAACCAATTCCCCTCAAGTTTGGTTTCCTTTGCTACATGTAAGACTTTATTCATTTATAAAGAAAAGTCTGGGCAGCTGGTAAGTTGTCTATGTTTGAGAGTTTGTTAGAAAACAGCTTTATTTGTCTCTTGATTTTTTTTTTTTTTTTTTCCCCCTCTTCTCTCTCTCCCTTCCTTCCCCTCTCCGGATTTAGCTTGCAAGACAGCTTTGAATACATCCACCAGGATCCTAATTTGGGAAAACTGAACACAAATCAGAATAATTTGGGTCCTTGTCGTACTGGGAGTAACCTAGGTAAAATCCTCCATGTAACTGGGCTCTTTCTTTCCCAATACCACTATTGTGGGTGTGTGTTTTGCTTTATTTGAGTTTGTTGTGCTGTTTTGTTTTTTTTGTATCATCTTTAATCCGTGTTTATTTTTGTGTGTGTACTTCGTTTGCCCTCCTGTGTGTGCCCCTGTCTCTAGGTCCGCTGCAAGCATGCGGCAGCAAACTGCTACAGGGCGTAGCTGAAGGAGGACCTCTCCGGCTCACCCGGAGTGCTTCTTTCTTTGCAGGTTTGTGTGGAATGCTGAGTACAGTGTGACCCACACACACATTAATAATAAGTCCTGTGCAGGTTCTTAGGGAAAAAAAATCCTTTTTGGTGCCTCTCTAAGAAATCCAAGGGGCTCTTGAGATTATTAGTTTCAAATGCAGCCAAGTTCATGGTGTTTTGAAAATTCCACCAAAGAACCTCTATTGTAAATGTCTTTGCTAATACCCCAGTGTAAGCTGATTTTGATCTGAAATGAGCCCTTAGTGTTTCTAAGAGGATTATATTTTCTGATTTTCCTGAGCCTCTTCTGCTGCTCTGAATGGCTGTTTCCCTTTCTCGTGGTATATATCTTTATCCATTTGTTCACCTGCATCCTTCCCTGCATAGAGTTTTCTTCAAAAGTCACTCTAATAAGAGCATGGAAGACCTACCTCTCTCTCTCTTTTCTTCCTCATCCCTCTCTCTCTCTCTCTCTCTAGCATTGAGTAGTTTAAACATAGTTTCTAGGTTCTTTACAGGTATAATCATCTCAGTCTGTCTGGGTAGGTAAATTCTGAGATCTAACTGGCCTTGCTAGCTAAAGCTGTTGAATGTCTGTTGTAGTCTGGCATGACTACAACAAGTGTGGGGAATCTTCACTACTAACATTAAAGGTTATGTTTATGGCAAATGGTATTCTTCATTCTGTTCTTTGTAGCTGGAAATATGCTAAGCACCAAGAAACTGACACCCTCCCACCTACTTAGAGTGAGGATAAGATGTTTATGTGCTCTCTTTAAAATTGTGAAAATAAACATGCTTCAAAAATAGCTGGCAAGTATAATAATCAGGCAGGGCACTGGGTTTCTTGTACATTGTAAAACTTACTATAGCAACGTGCCATCTACCCTGCAGCTCAATAAGTATACAGTTTAGATGAGTCTGAAGCATTCCTAGAAGTGTATAATACTTGTGTTTTCTAAAATTCATGCCAGGATATGAGTTTTTCTCAGTAACTACAATAATACTGGGTGTATATGGAAAAGAAGTGGAGGAAGAAATATTTGAAAATGAGTATGTGTTGTTTTTTTTTATCTACCAAGAGAATGGGTTATAAATGAGAAATATTTTTTAAACCTACGAAACGGTATTCAAGTATTTCTGTTCCCCAAAGTTGCCTAGAGTTACTAATGAAACTGATTATAAAACATTTTGAAAATACAGTGCTATTTAAATATGACATTACTAATGAGGAAAGGGGCCAAAAGTATCTGCCTGAGAATGTTTGTTCATTGTGTCAACTGCATGAATAGTTTATTATGGCAGTTGGCTTTAGAAATAAGCATCAGTCCAAAGGGTGTTTATGTTACATAGGATAAAGACAGGTAGTTACTTGAGTCTATCTTCTTTTCACTCGTTTTCTACTATTTAATTTTGCTTCCTGGTTAATCTTTCTATAAACATAGGCCAGTCATCAATAGCGCTAGCCTACCTTGAAATGTAAAAGTGACTACAGTCGTTTTTGAACAACTAGTTCTTTGGGCATTTCAATAACAGGGTTACCTTTTGCCTTTCTCTCAGCACATAGCACTCCGGTTGACATGCCGAGCAGAGGACAGAATGAAGACCGGGACAGCGGCATTGCCAGATCAGGTATTTGTACTTCCTTTTATTGATTTAGCTGGTAGAGTGAACTCTCATCCACGATGGGGGAGTAGGTCGGAAAACAGACCGGGCTTTCTTCCTCCCCAACATTCTAAGATGGTCTCATGCATCTGAAGATCTAGGGCTTGGGTGTACAGCATCTAGGAGTGGTTGTGCAAAATGGACTCGTTTTTTTCTAAACCAAACTCATAGGAAGGAGACTCTTGTCCTTCGAGAAATTTCTTTTTAAAGGGAAGCTTCCTGATCCAATTTGTCTGGGAATTTGCCTGCTGAATATTGAATGTAAAATCAGAGGAAGAAGGGTGTCTGTGGAAGTAAGTCTATCCCTGACTGGGGGAGGGCCTGCCAGTCACCCTCCCTCCTGCCCTAGAGTCAGGCTGATGATCTAGATTTTATCTCGGATAGCCCTTTCTCGCATTCCTTCAAGCGTTCAGCTTTTCTAATGCTGCTTTTAAGATCTCTCGGTTTCTGCTTTTCTACACGATTCTGCTGTGAGTTTTGATTTGTGGTTTAGATCTGGTAGATTCTGTGCTGTAGAAGGGTAGGGAACCAGTGATCTGGAACTGGAGGCCTTGGAGATGTTTGGGTTTAGCCTGATGAACACAGGTCATGCACACCACTTCTGCCTTCCGCTGAAGACCAAGGGCACCCTGCTGGTTTTACCTATGATACACGGCACTGTCACCGAATAAGCCAGCCGGTCAGTGCTTGCATGTGGGGGATGGGATCCAGGCCTCAGATGCCTTTCTTCCCGCCGGCGGGGGGGGGGGGGGCGGCGGGTAAGAACTGATACCAGTGTGAATTATAAGACTTGAGAGAGCACTAGCTTTCTTTGATAGTTTGGCTTCTATTCCCAGCAGTCTTTACTTTGAGTCTCCCAGGTCTCTTATCAGGACAAACGGGACAGAGATAGAGAGGGCTGCAAGTGCTCCTGACAGGCATTTGGCTCCCCTCGTTCTCCTGGTAGATGTGTTCACATTCACGTGCCTTCCGCTCCCATCTGGGTGCTGTTCTAAAATCACTGAGTCCACGTAAAGACCAGTGTGAGCTCTACACCCCTGGTGGGGTTCAGCAGTTTGTTGATAAAATCCTCGTTATGTTCTTACTATATGGTTAATTCTCTAAGGTCTCTTTTTATACCCACCTTAACATTGCAGGGACCAAGGTCCTCATCCTGAAACAGAATAAGGACTCCAGGTGTTTGAACTGAATTAGCAGAAGATGTAGAGAAATGAAAAACACGCATATTCCTTTTTTCTCTAATTTTCTACTTAGTGTCTAAAGAGTTGAGAGATGGGGTAGATTTTTTAAAATTGATTTTTTTTAGAACAGTTTGAGATTTACAAAAAAATCGAGATAAGTACAGAGAATTCCCATATAACGTGCACACAGTTTGCCCTATTACTAGCATCTTATATTAGGGTGCATTTGTTAATAGTTCACAAATCAATATTGATGTATTATTATTACCTGAAGTCCATAGTCTTATTTATTTCCTTGGTTTTTGTCTAATGTCTTTTTTTTTTCCTGTTCCAGGACCGTATTATATTTAGTTATCATGTCTCTTCAGGGCTCCTTTCGATTTCCTCAGACTTCTTTATTTTTGTTATCAAAAATAAACTTGACAGTTTTGAGGAATAGTGTCCAGGTATTTTGTAGAATGCCCCCTATTCAAATTTGTTTGATATTTTTCACATGATTACTAGGGTTATGGGTTTTTCGAAAAAAGATCCCAGAGGTAAAGTGCCGTTTCCATCACATCATATCAGGGTACATGTGTTTGTCAGGTTTCTCCACTGTAAAGTTACTATTTATTTCCCCTTTACTATAACTTAGTTAGGAAGTCACTATGCATAGTCCACACCTAAGGAGTGGAGAGTTCTGCTCACCTTCCTTGAAGCAGAGTATCTGTATCTACATAAACTATCTGGAATGCTTCCGTGGGGGGTGATTCATTTCTTTCCCCTCATCTGTTCGTTCATTGATTCAGTCAGTCAGTAGTGCTGAAGTTGTTCCAGCTTTGGCCATGGAAGCTGTGGAGCTCTTTTCACTGGCTTCTCTGTTTCTTTAACATACCTTATCAGCATGGGTATGGATGTATGTGTTTTTAATGCTTCCTTACTTTCTGACACTGTAAGATACTCCAGACTTGTACATTGTCTTATACATTTCCTACTCCAGTCGTAGAATCAGCCATTGCTTCATGGAGCCCTGTTCTTTCATTGGAGAATGGTATTAGATTCTAAGATCTAGACATTAGAGGTGCTCGTTGCTACTGGAATGTCATTTTCTTACAGGCCCTGTCAGCTGACAAGCAACAATTTATGCTAACTGTATACATATATTGTAATATTGCTATGTGTAACATATGTGTATATGTTAGCTCAAACATTAGTTTATACTGATATCTCCATTATCCATAAGCCATTACCACATAGATCACTCTACCTTCCTTCCCTTGCTTATATGAAACTCCCTACTCCAGCAGTGAGAAACCTGGCTCTCACTGTCTGCCATCCACTTAATTGTTTCATTTCAGTGTGCGTGTTTAGCAGTGTCTGAATAGTTAACCTGTACCCGGGAAGGAAACAACTTCATTGACTAGAGTATAGTGCTTCTGTTTAGTTCCTTTTACCTTTAGTCTTAAAGATGTCTACTCATTTCCAAAGTTACTTAGGTCAGCACCATTTTTTAAAAAGATTATTAGAGAGAGCACAGAGGGGAGGGGCAGAGGGAGAGGGAGAGGGAGTCTTAAGCAGACTCCATGCTGATCACAGAGCCTAATGCAGGGCTTGATCTCACGATCCTGAGATCATGACTTGAGCTGAAATCTAGAGTCAGATGCTTAACTGACTGTGCCACCTGGGCGTCCCGAGGTCAGCACCTTTTGAGATGGGGGAATTTTTGTAGCTATATGTGCCAGTCCAGTAGAATCTCTGAAATTAGTGTTTATACCATTTCACCTTGCAAAGGCTTCATGAATACTGCCCAGAATTCCGATTATTACAAGTCAGGTCTGAAGAATAATTTATGGTTCTTCTCCCCCGCCACCCCCCCCGCCATAGTCCAGTAGAGAAGTAACTTGAGAAAAGCTTTTTGTTTGTTTTTAAATCATTGTTTATACAGAGAAACTTGTTCCAGGATAAAAAGGAATTTTAAAGGAGAGTTTACAGTTCCCCATCCAAAAGAAACCTGAGGTTCTTTGTCCTATCCCACCAGTGCCTTGAAGCTTAGGCATCCCTTTCTGCAGGAAAACTTGAAAGGAGGGAATGGATGTAGGAGCTTATTTCATGTTCAGCAGCAAACTTGTTCTGTGCAGAGTATGCTCTGGGAATACAAAGAGCCATAGGGTTTTGAATATCCAAAGGGGTCTACCCTGTTGTTAGAAAACAGAATTATTTTGGTTTTTTCCACAGTAAGACCAATTTGATACAGTTGAAATTAAGGGAAAGAGTTAGAAACGTAGCAGAAATTAAGGGAAGGAATTAGAAGGGTAGCACTGATTCCTAACTAGCCAGTCATCAAGCCACATTTATTTATTGAATAGCAGTTTTTAGCCCCCCCGTGTTGTCAGACTCTACCAGAATTTGGGTGTTTTTGAAGAAGAGTAGAGTAGAGCACCTGCCCTCAGGAAGAGTTCGTGTAAACCAAGAGTTAAAATCCAATGTGATAAGTACTACCTCATAAGATACTGTGGGAACAAAGAGGAACAGTAAGTCACTTTGCCTGGGAATTCAGGGTGATGGCCTCATAGAAGAGGTAATATTTGAGTGACACCTTGAAGGTAGAAAAGAACTGCACCAGCATTTAGGAAAAGAGCATTTCTGAAAATAGTTTGTGCAAGGGTGTAGATCCTTGAGAGTATACTGTTAGGATGTTTGAATGATGGCAGGACTGGAACGCGGGGTTGGGAATGTCAGCAGGTAAGGCTGGTTATGAAAGGCTAATTTTGAATGGCACCAGTCCCATGATAAGGAGTTTGGATTTAATCTTACTAGCAGGGGCAGCTAAGGGATGTAACATAATTGGCTCTATTTTTGAGATCCATGTGGTGCTTCACAAACTGTGCTCCATTGCTAAAATAAATTAATTGTGACGCTTTCTAAGTTAGCAGGGGATGAAAGGACTTAGGTTTTTTTCTCATTTCTCAACTTTTTTTCAATATAGTTTTCCCAAACTTTTGAGGCTTCCCACCACAGTGTGTGTGTTTGTGTGTGTGTGTGTGTGTGTGTTTGTAGCTAGTATAAAATGAGTATCTGATTAGCATAAAATTTTTTGAAAAATAGTCCATTGGTTTTTTCCTCTTCCGTTTTTTGGAATAGCATCTTTGAAAAATATGCAACTTTTTTTTTTCTAAGTTACCCAGTAGCTTTTTGTAATAACAGAGAGGAAATCAAAGCTTAATTCTGACCTATGTCTTAATGTATTTTCTTCTTCATATTAAGTACTCCAGTGCCTCTTTACAAGCTTGTAACACACAGAGAGAATAAGAAATAAAGCAATAGCAAGAATATCTAACTTGTTGAAAAAAAAAAAAAAAGAGGGACACCTGGGTGGCTCAGTCAGTTAGGCATCCGACTCATGATTTCAGCTCAGGTTATGATCTCATGGGTCGAGAGATGGAGCCCCACGTCAGGTGCCATAGGGAGTCGTCTGGAGATTCTCTCCCTCTGCCCCTCCCTCCACTTGCTTGTGTTCTCTCTGTCTGATAAATATTTTTTTTTAAAAAAGAGTAAGTTCTTTACTGCCTTAACTAGTTAGACTGTTTTTTAAAGAAGCTTCTTCAGTAAAGGAACAGAGTAAATAATAAGCTTACAGTGTTTTTTCCTTTTAAGACTAGCAGTTTACTTAAAGGTATTTGCTTTGTTTCCTGAATTTTTGGAATGTAGTAAGGAAGTCAAGTGAGAAATATATACATTTTATTAAAAATTTAATATTCATGCATCAAAAACTAATGATGTAATGTATGGTGGTTAACATAACAATAA